AAGTACAGTAAATGGAAAATACAAAATAAGATGGTGATAAGAACAAACCTAAAGGTAATAGCAATTATAAGAAATGGAAATGGGTTAAACTCATCAATTAAAAGACAGAGATTCTCATATTGGGTAAGAAAACAAGATCTAATAATACATATCCTAAGAAGATACACTTAAATTAAAAAACACAGAAATATTGAAAGGAAAAAGATAGAAGAAGATATAGCAAAAATAAACGTATTAAAAAAGATATACCAGGCAATATCAATTGAGATAGCAATCTTAATATCTGACAAAATAGAAATTAATGCAAAAAACATCATAAGGAGGGATATTATATACAGGTAAAAGGAAAAATTGGACAAGAAGGTAAAGTGATTATAAACATATAGGCAACAAATAATACAGTTTTGGCAGCACAGCACATAATATAAAACTGGAATGATACAGAGATACAGAGACCGGCATGGCTCTGCACAAGGATGACACACAAATTTGTGAAGCATTCCATATTTTTCAGATATGTAAGATGAACAAGTCTAGAGATCTAATGCACAATGTGAGGACTAAAGTTAATAAAATTGCATTGTATTAGGGATTTTTGCTAAGTAAGTATATTTTAGGAACTATCTAAGAGGGTAGATATGTTAATCTGCTTCACTATATTAACCATTGTACAACCTATTTGTATCTACATGTATTTATGTATCTATATGTCCCATAGCATTATGTCATAAACCTCAAATATACACAATAAACATGATTTTAAAAAACTAAATGAATAAATGAACAGGGGGAAAAAACCCCAAAGACAAAATACATCAAGTGACAGAACTGCGGGAAGAAATATATAAGCCAACAATTGTAGTTGTAGATTTTATTACAATCATTTCTGAAACTGACAGATCAAGCAGAGAAAAATATGCAGAAAAACTGAAGAATTGAATAATATAATTAATAAGCTTTAGCTTATATAGTATAAGTTTGAGCTTATATTGAGCTGTATATGGAACTCTACAGTGAACACATTCTTGTTAAGCAGAGGGAGCATTTATGACCATGAATTAGGCTATAATAGAAGCTTCAGTAAATTCCAAAGGATCAATATTACACAGACTAGGTTCTTTGATCATAATGCAATAAAACTAGGAATGAACAAAGTCAGGAGAGCTAAAAAGTTACATATATTTGGAAACTAACACATTACTGTATAACTCTTGGATTTAAAAAAGTCATCAAGGAATATAAGAAATGTTTAAAACTGAATAATAATGAAAACACTACATAGAAAATTTTGTAGGACACAGTGAAAGCTGTAGAGCAAAATTTACAGCTTTAAATACATTTATTAAGAAACATGAAATGTGACAAGTAACAGACTTAGCACTTGACTCAAGAAATTAGGAAAAAAGCCACAGAGCAAAATAAAAGAAACACGAGAGAAGAGAAATAATTAAGAAAACGGCAGAAATAAATGAAGTGGAGATGCCAATGTTGATGCCAGCAACAAGGAGATTACTAAACCCAAAGGCTGGTTCTTCACAAAAAATTAGTAAGATAAATAGATCTTTAGCAAGAGGAACCAAGGAAAACAGAGAAGATACAAATAAATGAAATATGGAATTAAAGAAGGGGGAGGGAATAACTATAGGCACAATAAAATTTAAAAATAATTTCAAAACATTATGATCAAATGTGTACTAATAAACTTGAAAACCTAGATGGAATGTAAACATCCCTAGAAAAATATAAAAATCCGAAGGTGGTACAAGAAGACACAGAGAAACTGAAAAGGGAGTCAAAGAGCTCACCTCTCAAAAAAGTCCAGACTTAGATGTTTTTACATTTGAGTCTCTCAAAATGTCAAGGAAAAGTAATTTCTGTCTTATGCATGTTGTTCCATAAAATATTAGATCAGAAAATTTTATGAACATAGCTGCGAAAAATCCTAAATAAAAATATTTGCCAGTTGAATCTAACAGTATATTAAACATTAATACTTTATAAAATATAATAAAGGAGCAAAATTGTGATTGTTTCAATAGATACAGAAAAAGTTTTTGATAAGGTTCAACATTTTATAATAAAAATTCTTAGTAAGTTAGTAAGACAAGGTTAGATAGTAAAATCCTACTACAACAATTTTATTTGATGACAAAATTTTAGATGTACTTATTCCCTTTAATATTGGGATCATGGAAAGGATGCCTGCAGTCACCATTATTGTTAAACATAGAACTAGATCCTTAAATGAGATTCATTATTAATATAACTTACCTACACACATAATTTCAAAAAGTCAACACAAACCAGAGAATCAAAGATCTGCTATGAAGCAAACCAAATTGTGATATGATTTTGAGCAACTGATGGAGTATAAGAAGGGGATTTCACTTTCCCTTGGTGATAGGAACATTCTCCTTTGAGGGGCCTTAACCTCATGAAAAAGGAAAGATAATTCTAGAAGACTACTTGAATTTTCAATTAAAGATATTCTGAGTCATAAAAAGTCAATATGATACCTAACTGTATTGAAAAAGGAAATAGATTATATTAAAACATTATTTTGATGTAAAAAAATAGAACTAGAGATCATGGTCAATGCTCTATGGAAAGATAAAGAAGTAAGGGGGGTAAGTATTAGAAAGGAAGAGATAAAACACTTCTTTTTGTAGATAATATTCTTATATATATAAGAAAAACAGAATCAATAGACAAACTATTGAAACCAGAAAGAGAGTTCAGCAATGTTGTCAGATAATAGAGGTATTTACAAAGGAAATAAAGGCATTTCTCTATGCCAGCAATAATCAACTAAAAAACGTAATAAACGTAAGATACTGCTCACAATAACACCAAAACCATGAAGTATCTAGGAAATAATTAAGAATACATAAGATTTCTATGTAGAAAACCTAAAAACTTTGGTAAAGCATGGTAAATAATTTGAACAGATGATTTAATATCACAAAAAATCAACATCTTCCAAAGTTAATTTTTTGGTTCAATGTAATCTCAATCAAAATCCCAGTTGGGTTTTGGAAGAACCTGGCAAACTTACTTTGAAATGTATCTGGAAGAATAAAGGTCCACGTATTGGTCAACTTAAAAAGAAGATTAAGAAGAGAAAACTTGTCTCACCAGATATTAAGACAGATGGAAGAGCCATATTAATTAAAGCAGTGTGGTTTCAAGAGTAGACACATAGACCTCAATATACAATAAAAGGAAAAAAGATGATTACTTAGTAGTTTGATTATAGAAAAAGTGGCTTCTCACATGAGAAAAATAAAACTGGATCCCCATCTAACACCACAATGTGAAAGATATAGCTATAAAATCAGAAAATGTAGGAGAACATATTTATAACCTAGTGGAGGGGAAATACTTCTTTAAAAAATCTTGAAAGCACATAAGGATTAAAGACATCTAGTCAATGAGGGACGCCATGGATCCAGTCAATACATGACAGACTGGAAGAAGGTATTCTCACCTAAAACCAACAGGAGTTGCTATCTGGAATATTCAAAGAACTCTTGCAAATCAATAAGAAAAGGACAGCTATCTCAATAGGAAAAAAGGGCAGGGGATATGGATAGGCAATTTGTAAAAGAGGAAAATTTACAAGGCTACAGGCATATCAAGAGATGCTCAAACCCATTAGTAGTCAGAGAAATGTAAATTAAAACAAAAACGAGGTACCACTGTTGGACTGGTGAAGATCAGATAGCTGGGAAACACCGGGTAGAGATGAGGATGTGGGCGTTAGTAGTCAGAGAAATGTAAGTTAAAACAACAACGAGGTATCACTGTTGGACTGGTGAAGATCAGATAGCTGGGAAACACCGGGTAGAGATGAGGATGTGGGCACAGGAATCCTCGTGCACTGCTGGTGAAGTACAGGCTGTGGCAGTTCTGGGTAGAATTAAGTGTATGCACACCCAGTGAGCCAGTGACCCAGATCCTGGTGTATATCCCAGAGAAATGTTCACACAGGCCCCAAGGAGCAATGCATGAGAATATTTCTTGGTTGGGGGGAGTTGGAGGTGAGTGGGCAGGTGAGATGTGTAGGGGGACCAACTCCTCCTGGTTTTTCCAGGACTTTCCCAGTTTTAGCACTGAAAGTCTGCTTCCCAGGAACCCCCTCAGTCCCAGGCAAACCAGGATATATGTTGGATGTACTCCATTGAGTACTATATGATACAGATGGAACTTAAAAACACTGCACAGTAGAAAAAAGTATGACACAAAATGAAATATACTCATATAACATTGCCATTTAAGTAAACAAACATCGTATGCTCACACCAGTACAAAGTTTGCAAGAATACATAAGAAACCAAAAGATACACATTAAACACATTGGAATGGTTGTATATGCCAGAGTGGAGTTTAAAGAGAATACATACAGAGGTACATACACAAAAACAAGAGTGGGGCCTTGTAGGGACCAATGAAACAATGTACCATAAACTGAGGCAAATGATTTATTTAGATGCTCAAAAGAAGCTTTCTGGGACAGCACCGTACGTGTGTGTGTCCCAGTGTCTCCATCACAGGAAGCTTCTGGTGGTTGAGGTGGGAGTGGTACCCCAGTGGCTCTTACAAAGGGTGAGGTGTGTGTGAGACCGGCATTGACTGAAGCCCAGGTGGGGGGTGAGCTGTGTGCATGCCCACCACCTGGGATTTGGGGCCAGTGTGCGCCCCAAAAGGGCAGGGAGGGGTGCTTGTCCCCCTCCGGGCTCAGGGCTGGAGGAGGGGCGTAAAGAGAGGCGTCCTGGGCATCCTACCTCATTGAAGGCAGCCACGTCCTCACAGTTCTCCATGTGAGCTGTGTACATGCCCACCACCCGGGATTTGGGGCCAGTGTGCACCCCAAAAGGGCAGGGAGGGGTGCTTGTTCCCCTCCGGGCTCAGGGCTGGAGGAGGGGCATAAAGAGAGGCGTCCTGGGCATCCTACCTCATTGAAGGCAGCCACGTCCTCACAGTTCTCCAGGACCCGGGAGTGGAAGGATTGCCCTGTGCGGGGAGAGAGGAAACTCTAGTCAGGCCTGTCTAGACAACAGGCTTGGGGGCAGATGTCCTCAACCTGGTGGTCATCATAACAGCATTGGATCCACATTTCCCATGAACCATGGAAGCTCACAGCTCATGCAGCCCTCTCCAGGATAAGGTAAGTCCCCTATCATTTCTTATCTGACCCTCTCAGCAGCCCCATGAGGTAGGCAGGTCAAAGGCCATTAGCTCCATTTTACGAACCATGGAAGCTCGCAGCTCGTGCAACCCTCTCCAGGATAAGGTAAGTCCCCTATCATTTTTTATCTGACCCTCTCAGCAGCCCCATGAGGTAGGCAGGTCAAAGGCCATTAGCTCCATTTTACAAATGGGGATCTGAAAGCACAGGGCGTCCCAGGCTGGACAGAGCAGATGTGGGCCCAGAGCCCAGGGCTCTCTTCTCCACCACGCTGCTTCCCCTGGGCCTCCCTCAGCCTCCTCTGCCGCCTCCCCAGCTCCCCGGGCTGTCCTGAGCCTTGAGGCCTTGACCAGAAGCCTGGTCCAGATGACAAGCCCTCTATTGATGGGGGTCTGTGGAACCCAGTCGCCTCCTGTGACTGGGTCTGCAGCCACCCCAGGTGCTCTTGCCCAAACCAGGCCCAGGACAATCAGTCAAATCCCAGATCACCGTCCCCCATGTGTGGTCCAAGGGCCTTCCCCTTCCATCGCGCTCATTGTTTTGGGGTCAGCCTTGGCAGAGGTTGAGGGGATGGGGTGGCGACGTGTAGAAGACACCAGCTAATTCAGTGCAGTCTGAGTAACATTTCCTGGAGTCCCTGATGTGCCAGGCCACATTGTGGGGACTCAGATAGAGGGATGGACAAAATGCACAGGGCCCCACCCTCAGGGAGCTGACAGTCTGGTAGCGGAGGCCGGGGAACCAGAACAGGTCACCAGTCCGATACCATGCAATACAGACCCCAAGATACAGTTTTGCACAAGATACAGAAATGGCACAGAGAAGGGAGGACAGATACTCTTTTGGGGGTGAGGTGGAGCTACATGGGAAGGGGTTGTAATTTCTGTGAGGAAGAACCCAGAGACAGGATAGGTTAAAAATAATCTATTGCTTAGGATTAATTTTTAATCCACTATTATCAATTCCACACCAAAAAAAAAAAAAAAAGTAGTATGTATAATAGGATCCTGTTAAAAAAACCACCAAACCCCCAATTACAAGCATGTATTTTGTATGTGAATAGACAAAGATCTCAAACCATTAAAAGTGAGAAGGAATGAGAAAATATTGAAAGCAGTCGACTTTTTACTGTATACAGTGAGTTTGAATTTTTCTCAGTGACTGTGCTTTACTTTTATAATTGAAAGAAAAATGCTTTTAAATCCTCACCAACCTAAATCAGCAGTCTATTTCATTGAAAGGCTATCTCTAGGTTGAACTCAGTCCCATCTGGGGCTTAGTTTGGGTTGGGCAGGGCTGGGGGCCCAGGAGAGGACTTGGCAAGGGGGAGCATGCTGTGCTTTCCTCCCCACAGAAAACCTGGAGGCCGGCTCGACCAGTGCCAGGCCAAGGAGGGGTTAGAGGCAGACCCCTTGGACCCTCCCCTTCGAAGGGGCTGCAAAGCAGGTTTGTTCCCTCCAGGAACCCACCTGGCTGCTCTGGCCTCGGTTGCCTCATCTGTTTAGTAAGAGATCTCCGGGGCCTGCATGGTTTTCATGACCCAGGAGCTAGTACTACTTCAGCACAGAGCTACCCCCTGACAGGGAGGGCAGGGGTTTGACGGTCTAGGAAGGGTGTGTGTGCGCGCACGTGTGTGGTGTTTGCGGCTGGAGGCATGTGGGGAGGGGCTGCATCCAAGATAATGAAGAAGAAGCTATAAAGCAGAAGCTATGTACACAGAAAACAGATGAGAAGTAGATGAGATGGGAAAGAAAGAATCTTTAGCACTAGCTGGGGATAAAACAAAACAAAAAATCCAGAAGAAAAAATCTCAACAACAAACCCCAAGGCAGCCAGGCAGGAGAGGAAAACATGAGAGAAAGTGCCTGAGCTCTGAGCTTCTTTTATTTTTTCCCACGGGTAACACACAACATAAATTGAGAATCAGGTGAACGTATTTGTGCTTTGGGCTTCCCCGAGGACCTGCCGCTCCGAATAATCAAAGGCCTTTTCATCCTAGGAGATCTTAATGAGCCTTGGATATGGCTGTTCTCAGGAGTCTCCTGGAGTGAAAGATTGAGCAGCCCAGCCAGATGGAAGGTAGGGAGGGGCCCTCCAAGGTGGTGTCAGGCTGGATGTGCACAAAGCACGAAGCTCACACCCTCTGCTGTTTGCTATCTCCCCTGTCCGTGTTAGGCCGGAGGTAAAATACAGTGAAATCAGCCACTGCAGAATTTATACATCAGGGCTCCGTTTCAAAAGGCACTAAAACCTCATTGGCTTAGGCCCCGGGGATTTTGACGTGGTGAGTATTTTCAGACAGGATGAGCTAAAATTTACCTCTAGACAATAAAAAAAATGTTTGCTGGAACAAATCAATCATGCAGTGGGAAGTCCAGCTTATTAAGACTACAGAGTGTCCTTAAGCATCTCTGAAGAGCCACTTTTTGGGAGGGGATGTACGAACAGTGGCAGGCATCATTTGGGCGGTCCTTTTCTATTCATGGGAACAGAGCCAGGGGACCCCCATCAGCCATTCCAAGTTATCAGTGGGGATTACTAATCCCATCTCTTGTTTCAAGTTCATTTCCACTTAACATCTACTCCATTCAACACCGGTCTCGTTGACATTTGAGCTTCATTTTAAATGGCTTTCAGACAAAACCATTACAAATCCCAATATGCAATCACCTTTCTTGCCACAGGGAAGATGGAGAATAAAGCTTGAGAGAAAATAGGGGTCGAAGGAGAAGGGGATCAGATGGGGAGAACTGAAGAGCATCCTCCTTTCTTCTGAGGCAGCTGCTCACAGGATAGCTGAGATGTTTGGTGTGAAATAAACTCCTTCCTGAGCCAATAAATGGAGTATGAATTGCAGAGTCTGTGCTCACAGTGTGATACGTGCCATGACATTGGACATAGTCATTCCCAACCGGAGGGACTCATGAGTCCAAAGTGTAGTAGATAGAAGTAACTTTTATGTCATTTACCTTTAAAAATCTCCATGCCACAGCTACCCTCCTAAATAAAGGTGAGCCCAGTGCTTCTTTCATTTCCTGTGATGCAATTTAAGGATACAAAACATTTCACCTGCACAAAATAGCTCTCTCTTCCAGTCGTTTCCCCGCTAGAGTCAGACCTTTGAGAAAAGGCTGCATGTAGGGACTTGGGCACTAGCCGGTGCACATTCATTCATGTCCATGGGCAAGAGGAGGGTCTTTCCCTGCTGGAATGTGTCAGCTCTGCCATTTGGCCCTAGTGGAGGGGAGTTGTGCAAAGATCATTTGAATCTGGATGCTGCCTTTAAGAGCTTATTGCCGGCTAGAAGGGAGATCTGTCAGACATGGAAGAGACCATTATATAAGGCAGAATTCAGTCTCTGACATGAAAATAGTATAAATAAAGAGAGAACACAGGAAAAGGAGAAAGGACTCTCAACCCAGCCGGTGAAGGTAGGTGTCGTAGAGGCATGGGTCTTTGTGCTGGAAGATCACATGGAATCTGGATATGCAGAGAGGCTGGGGAGTAGGGAGACAGGAGGGAAGTCCGGGCAGAGAGAACACCGTGAGCTAATGTTGAGAGCATAGAGCAGAGAATGAGCCCGAAGGAACTGGACACAGGACAGACAAGTCCTGATGGGAAGGGAAAAGGGAAAAAGGTCTGCTCTCAGGGGGTGGCCTGGGAAGGGACACCTGAAGGACAGAGTGCACAGGGTGGGATGGTGGTCATCTAAAGGGGAAGGAGCAGGTCCTGAGGATAAATTTCAAGGACATCATGGTTTTGACAGGACCCAGCCCTTTGACCCGTGTCCTAGCAGTGCCTGCCATTACTGATGTCCCTGTGGGGGTTAAAAATAGGGCAAAATGCTTGCTTGTGACTCAGATCCGTCACTGTTAGTTCCCTGCTTATTTAAAATCAGCAAAGCCAATTGCGTGCATTGCCTGGGATGGATTGTAGAGAGCTCCAGAAGGGCCCTGTCCCCTCCCGCGATGCTGTGCATGTCCCTCTTTCCCCCACAGTGACTCTCTGGATGCTGGTGCTGCTATATAGTCATTCTCCCCAGTTCAGACCAGCCCATTCCTTTTGAAGGCCAGCCACTCCCGTGGAACACCGGGAAGCAGGGCCCAGGCATTCCTAGTGCAGGGAAAAGAGCCAGGCCTAGTCAGGTGAGGGGCCTGTGCTGCCACTCCTGGGCTGGGGGCCCTGTAGCTGGCTGTCCCACCCCTTGGGCCCTCAGAGTCAGCATCCGTGATCTGGGGGTAATTATCCTGAACCAGCCTATATCCTGGGACCATTGCATGGATCAGCAAGGGACTGTTTTTGAGAAAGTTGGAGTAAAGCAACAAGTCCCGTATAAACACAGGCACAGTATAGAGGTTAAGGCTTTGGGGCCATAGTGCCTGAGTTCAAATCCCAGTTCTACCACCTGCTAGCTGTGTGCTCTTGAAGAAGTTATTTAACTTCTCTTTGCCTTAGTTTCCTCATCCATAAAATGGAGGAAATGATAGTGGTTCGAACAGCGTGTAGCACATAGTTCATTACTCAATAAGAAATAGCTATTACCATTCTACTGTTTTTCCTTTATACCTTTAAGTTATGTGCTAAATATAAAAATGGCCTCCACTATTATAAATCACATTTGTAGCTTATTTTTAGTAGTTTGTAGTCAGGAAGTTTTTTTCATCTTATGGAATATTTTCCAAATTTTAGGTATACTAGATGTGATTATTTCTTCTTTTTTTAACTAGGTAAAATTTACATTCACAGATCTTAAGTGTACAATTTAATAAGTTTCTATAAATGCATGTATCTGATCACACAGTGAAGATATAGGACATTTCCACTTCCTTTAAATGTTCCCTTATGCCCTTTTCCAGTTAATTTCTACCCTACCCCCCCAGCCCCCACTAGGTAACCACTGTTCTGATTTCTATCGCCGAAGATTACTTTTGCCTGTTTTAAACTTCATTTAAATGGCATCCTATAGCATGTACTTTTTTGTGTCTGGCTTCTTTCGGTCCATGTAACGTTCTTGTGATTCATCCATGTTGTTCATTCATTTTTATTGTTTGATTAGTATTTCATTGCATAAACATTTCACAACTTGTTAATCCATTTTGCTGTTGATAGACTTTTGGGTTATTCTGAGTAAGGCTGCTGTGACCATTCTTGTAAAAGTCTTTTCGTGGACATATTATTTCATTTTTCTTGGGGAAATATCTAAGCGAAGAATTGCTAGGTCATAGGCTAGGTGTCTGTTTAATTTTATAAGAAATTGCCAAATAGTTTTCCAAACTGGTCGTACCATTTCACAATTCCACCAGCAATGTAAAAACGATTTCAGTTGTTCCACCTCCTTATTAACATTTGGTTATTGTCAGACCTTTACATTTTAGCCATTTTAATGCATGCAAAATAGTATCTTATTATAATTTTGATTTTCATTTCTCTAATGACTACTGATGTTGATTACATTTTCGTATGCTTATTGGCTATTTGTATATTTTATTGTGTGAAATGTCTGTTCAAGTCTTTTACCTATTTTAAAATTTTGATTATCATTTTATTATTAATTTGTAGGGGTTCTTCATATATTCTGGCTACAAGTTCTTTGTCAGATAAATGTGAATATTTCCACCTTGTGGAGGGTGTGCTTTCTCATATTCTTAAATGTGTTTTTTGATGATAGGAGTTTTTAACTTAAAAAATCCAATTTATTAATTTTTTGGTGAAATTTATTTAAGTGTAGTATTTTTTATGTTTTCTTTAAGAAATCTTTGCCTTAGCCCCAAAATATAACAAGGGTATTCTATATTTTCTTCTAGAAATTTATAGCTTTTTATGTTTAGTTCTATACTCCATCTTGAATTAATTTTTGTGGGTGATATGAGGGAGGAGTTTGAAGTTCATTTTTCCCCTATATAGATATCTATTTCTTCTAAATATCTAACCCCTTGATTGAAAATCAACTGATTGTATATGTATTGGGACATTGTATTCTGTTCTATTGGTCTGTATGTGTACTCTTATGCCAATGCCACACTGTCTTGATTCCTATAGCTTTATAGTAAGCTTTATAATCAAATAATGTGAACCTCCCAAACTCTCTTCTCCATTTTCAAGGTTGCTTTGGCCATTCGACATCCCTCTCCATGTCTGTGTAAATTTTAAAATAGTTTTCAATTTCCACAAAATGGCTTGTGATTTTTATTGGGATTGTGCTTAGTCTGGAGATCAATTTTTGGAGAATTGACGTTTTAACAATTCTGAATCTTCCAATCTGGAAACAAGATATTTTCTATATATTTGGGTTTCTTTTATTTCTCTCAGCATTCTGTTTTGCTTTGTTCTTAGTGTGGAAGTCTTTCATGTCTTTGGTAATATTTTTATGCTATTGTAAATATAATTGCTTTTTTTTAAAAAGATGACCGGTAAGGGGATCTTAACCCTTGACTTGGTGTTGTCAGCTCTAAATATTTTATTTTTATGCTATTGTAAATATAATTGCTTTTTAACTTTTGTTTTCTAATTGGTTTGTTTCTATAGAAATTTATTTATTTATTTATTTTGCATATTAGTCATATATCCTGAGAACATCCTAAATCCACTTATTAATTGTACTAGCTTTTTAATAGTTTCCTTAGGATTTTCTAAATAACCAGTCAGGTTTTCTGGCAATAAAGACAGTTTTACTTCTTCCTTTCTAATCTGTATGATTTTTTTTTTGAAATATAATTGCTTTGTAACTTTTGTTTTCTAATTGGTTTGTTTCTATAGAAATTTATTTATTTATTTATTTTGCATATTAGTCATATATCCTGAGAACATCCTAAATCCACTTATTAATTGTACTAGCTTTTTAATAGTTTCCTTAGGATTTTCTAAATAACCAGTCAGGTTTTCTGGCAATAAAGACAGTTTTACTTCTTCCTTTCTAATCTGTATGATTTTTTTTTCTTGCCTTATTGCACTGTCTAGAACTCCAGTAAAATGAATGTGGACAACTTTGCCTAGCTTATGATCTTAATGTTTAATGTTTCTGGATTAAGTGTGGTGTTATTTGGATGTTTTTTGTAGTTGTTCTTTATCAGATTGAGAAAGTTCCCTCTATTCCTAC